GGTATTGGATTGAATCAATATTCGAGGTATTGGATTGCATCAATATTCGAGGTATTGGATTGCATCAATAAGCGAGGAATTGGATTGAATCAATATTTCAGGTATTGGATTGAATCAATATTCCAGGTATTGGATAGAATCAATATTCCAGGTATTGGATTGAATCATGAAAATTAAAAGATTGAATTGAACCAAAATTTTATTTGCCATTGGATTGAATGCCTTTTTACATGTTTAAATAAAACCATTATTTAAAGGATTAAACATATATTGCAAGGATTGAATTTTGCTACAAATGGCTTGCCATACTGGCTGACAGACTGAGCTATATAGCTATCGTTCCCGCTATTCAAATCTTAGTAAGTTTTTGATTATCATCCCATGGATGACTCCTCTCTATAGATTTGAATAATGTTAGATGTACAAGTGAGTCTGGTACATTCACAGCATGTTCTTCATACTGACGAGATACACTGCAAACTTAGCTTAATTTAAAAAAACGATACAATTTTTGCAGATTATAATCCCCTCCCGTAAAGCTTGTTTTAGTATTTTATACCATTAAAGCATGTTAAGAGAATTCTGTTTAAATCTACCACTCTACCGCTTGCTTTGGCTCTTTTTTTTTTACGTAATGTATAAGTCTTAAACTATTCATACATGAGCCCAAGTTTACCAAAGGCAAGAAATTTAGTTTTTAACATGAAGTCTGAACCTGCTTTTTAAACTTAATTACTTTCCATCGTCGACAATAATTATAATGAAAAATTTTGCATCACAAACTTCCCCAACATTAGCAGGCAATGTTCTGTTAAAATATAACATTTTTTAAACCTGAGTAAACTATATTTTGTAAGGGTTTTCTCTTCTTTCTTTGAATTAAGCTGTTTTTTTTTCTTTTACGTACAGCTGTAAGCTAAAAACACAATTGCTTACTTGAATTGTCTCCTCTTACTTCGTAATGCGAGTTTACTCCCGGTGTTTACCTCTCCAAACAGTCACTTAAATTCGATCGAGACTCTCACGAAAACAAAACTCCCCAACTAACAGTTTCCCTTGGGACAATATTACCCGTGATCTAAGCTACCTGTGCAGTGTCTTTATATATTTCTTAATACCTTGAAATGTTCGGAAAAAAACTTTTTTTACTGCTTGATTTGAATCTAACCAATTCCAAAATTTCTAAATTTACTTGTTACACACGTTTTAGCCCGAACAGCAATCCAATGAAATATTTTGAATCAGTTTCAGTCTTTCCTAAATTTACCTATCCGTGTTCCTTTATGGCTCAATGTTTCTTTTTCTATTGAATAATTCAAGATATACTGTTTTGAGATTTTCTTCAATAGAGCTACTTTCCGCTATGTTAGATGGCGTTCCTCTGCACTAAAATGAGATGATCCCGTTCTAAGTTGCCTTGCCTCAGCTCAGGACGTTTTCTCTCTCCCAACAGTGGCTGAACAGCGCCTAAACGAACTCATATGTAGCCTGAGAACCACTAACAACACTGCTAAATATGAAACGCATTAAAACAAGGCTAAATACAATAGGAACCAAATGAAATTCCTATAAGAAGTCAGCAAGCACAGGTAACCCACATTCGACCAAGATGTCATAGAGTTCACCCACGTTCACATGGCAGTTATTCAGCATCTCTTCCAACGGGTTATGATACCGACTATCAAAATAACGGATGTATGCTTGATTAAAACCCAGTCTTTCAGCAACCTCTTTCCACTCGTCTCCACCTGGAAATAAAATCATGATTACCAAAGGGCTCAGAGGAAACAAAATTGGTCATCATGACAGGATAGAATCGACCTGACTTTGGAGATCTAGTTTTGCAAAGGACAACCGAAGTGAATTCGAGGAAAACAACTTTCATTTTGTTTGGGTCACGTAATAAACTAATACACTGCTCTAACCAGGATCAAGAAATTTCAATTTCTCTACTTTGTTCTTGTATAAAATAGGGATTTTCACTTATTTGATAAGTCCAAAAATTTTTAGGTGTCTTGGTAAAAGAAGTGCACAGACATTAAAACAATGCAGTAATATTCTGCTATCAAGAGGGAGGGTACAATTGACTAAATAGCTCCAAAATGTGGAATGTGTAGCACAAAGATGTCAAATCTTACCGCACAAATGTACTGCTAGATCTTTTTTCTGGTCTTCAGGAATATCTCCAACATGACAATGATCATTCAGTAGTGGGCCTGTTAAGGGGCAAATTCAAATGACAGTGCACATCGTCAACAGTGTTTGTAACGTACCTATACTCAAGGAAACCATACAAGAATGCCACGTTATGAGGTGCAGCCATTTGATGTACTTGCAAGCTGAAAAGTGCAATGCGAGGGTTCAAAAAATTGAGGGGCCTAAAACCTTGAACAGCTTTTAGAAAATCACTTTAACTCCTGAAATCGACGAAAAATCATCAACGAAAATTGTGATCACAGAAACAGTTTAAAAACAGTGTCACAAAAAAGAACTGTCAAAAGCGGTCAAGTCGGTGGTTATTTCATTTGTAAATTTCTAAAATTTGGTTCTAACTTTTGTTATCATAGGGAATGTTATTGTTTTTATGTTACCTCCTCTTAAAAAAAATCTATCATCTTTTGTCGCCGTAATCTGGTGTAACAATTTCTTATTTTGAATTAAGAGCCATACCTCAAGATTAGAAAAAACTGTTTTGAACGACTTAAAAGAAGTGTAAAAATGTCATTCATCTGCTACAAACATTTGCTGTGTCGTGGTATACTAGTTATGCAACACTTTCCCGTGGTATACTACGGAATATCCCACAAGTGACTTGTATTTTCTGGGTATACACACGAGCCTTTAGGGGTGTGTGTATAACAATAACATGCAGGTACAAGTATTTCATGGTATACCACGAGAAACCGTTGAGTAACTATTTTATACATGTTTTAGAGTGCCCAACAAAATCAATGCGACATACGCGCAGCATACGATGAGAAGGCTGGGTGTAATACCGTCGAGTATACATATTACGAAAAATTGTCTAAATCAAGTTCTAGAACAGTCTAGAACCGGAAGTCATTCATCCGTGACCTATTTGTATATGGACATTCCGGAACGTTCTATTTTTTACGCAATTACTCAGGTTAGAAACTGTGTCAAACTACTTAATTTAGCTCTTTATAGAAGTTCTAGAACCTTAAATTTTTTGTATATAAGAACGACAGTTTCGTCTGTTAAAAAAGGGAGGTCAATGTGAAGAAGCTTAGTGCTGAAAATTCGAGAAGTCAACTTGTGGAAATAAACTAGTTTTTCGCTGTTACCTGCGATCCTGAGTTCTGTCTGGGAACAACCCTGCTCTACAACGACACTCGTAACAATAAAACAGCTTTAATTTCCTGTATTCTGATTGACAGTATTTTCTATGGCATGGTATAAATGCCAGTACATCTTTTTCACACTTACCTGTGGTACCAGCTGGTACAATTTCCCTCAGATGTTTGACCACATCAAGCTTGTTGGAAGACTTTGCCTCACGTGCCAGGTAGCGGATCCATCCCTTGGTCTCGGACTCGGGCTTCTCCAGTGAGGAATGGTTTAGCTGTAGGTTCTCTTGTAGTTGAAGTACAACGCCCTGGGCATCACATGATTGTGAATGAAGCGATTCTAGAATGTCGCTAGGCAAGGCCAGAGACGTGTTTTGGTGACCTTTTAGTTTTAGAAAGATTTGCTGTTAATTGACTTATTTCATTATAAAGGCTACGACAGAAATCAGCCCCTTAATCGGTCGTGGCATCTGAATTGTTTTGAAATCACGAAGAACAAGACCAAACAATTACAGTGGAACCCCGTTTATCTGGTCACCAACGGGCCACAACAATTTCCCCATATTAACAGGGTGGCCGTATTAAAGGGGTCCTATAAATAAGAAAATGACTGACTGAGCTTTTCTTCGGGCCAGAATAGAATGGCCGTAATAACGAGGTGGGCGTATTAACAGAGTGGCCGTAAGTTGGAGTTCCACCGTACCACTGGAGTAGGGCACTTGAATGCATGCTTGGTTCACACATTCTATGATCTTATAAGGAAACAGAGCCCCTAAACTATGATCAGTCTCCTAAGGCATGCTATAAGGACACTGAACGAACCTCACGGAATGACAGCATTAAACTGGGGCATCAGGTGATTCTGAACAAGGAAGGAAGAACAAGACTGCTTAATTTCAAAAGCAAAATAATAAAGGAAGCTTACCATCCACAGAAGGCAGACTAAGTCTCTCAGGAGATTCGGTACTTCCTTCCTGTGGCTGAAGAATAGGGTAGAGAACGCAATTTTTAAAAAAGCGCTTTCCCATTGTTTTGTATTCTATACTGATGTCTGATTACGTAATACATGACAATCAATCAGTGTTGGAAGTCAAAGTGTCAAACAAGCTTACGTACGACAGGTTAGCTGTTTTAATTTGTACACGCAAAAAATGTACTGATTTTAAAGGGACAATCTTCTGGTGGTTGTTTTCCGCTAATGAAAACCTAAAACACAACCTGAACACAATTCTCTACCCAAACAATGAAAATTAGGACTCTACTGGGAGTATAAATCAAACGTCAAAGAAAGACAGCACACACTTTTCAAGTAGGTCCAAGAAAATGCTTATCCCAAATCAGGTTTTGTTTGCTATGAATTTCTGTTATAGTTAAGAATTTTATATAGTATAACATGAACTATATACACTGGTGAACTCTCTCTATAAGAGAACCATACTACACGTCTATGAGATGGACACCCCTATAAGAAGGACAATTGGTGTTGTTGCCTGCCGTTTTTCAGCCGTTTTACTGTAACGAAACGCTCTACATGACGGACACCTCTCTGGGGCAACGAACACTTAAAAACCAGCAATGGTCACTTGACAAGTGCTTTTTCAGTGAAAAATACTTCAAAAACGCAAATGTAGGTGCTTAATGTAACAGCAAATTACGATTCAGGGGGACAAAATTCGACAGACGTGTAGTCATTGTGCATAGGTTCAGCTTTAGCATCTCAGAATTGCTATCGTCATGTTACCTTGGCTCTCTGTACTAAGACGGACAGTTTGGGCCGGTCCCGATGGTGTCCGTCTTAGTGCACGTGGGAGTTGACTATATGACTCAGTTGATTTTGTTTTTATACTTGCTGCCCATATGCTTCACAGTTTCAAGATTACAAGAATAAATTACCGCTAAATTACTCTGGGGATGATGGTAATGATCGTCCAAAGTTGTCGCGTATAAATGGTCAGAAAAATAACATCGATTGACAGTGTGTTGCAAAAATAATATTCCACAAGTTTAAAATGTATAATACTCACATTTTCTTGGGAAAATGCAAACCACGGAGCAAACTGCTTGACCTGAATTCTGTTATCCTGTGCGGTAGCAGACCTGGTGCACATGATGATCCCTTTAGATTTGTACATCTCAGTCTCAGAGAAGAAGTGAAGGCATTCTTCTTGCTTACAACCCTTTGCACGATGATTTTGGCAGTAGCTGACCTCACCTTGTCGACAACAGACTGGGCAGAGGAAACTCATTTCACATCTAATGCTTTTTAGCCAAAAGAACTCATTGCGCATCGAATCAATCATCAATGCTAGTTGGCTACGTACAAAATGGGCAGGACTCATATCAGTGTTGCCATGGCAAAACCTTGCAGACAAGTCCACTTTTGAACGAAAAAGTCCTGCTAGAGTAAGACGACTACTGTTTTCACCAAGAATAATGACCTCAAGTGAAGATGAATGGCAAAGAAAGACCACGGAAAAGTCTTCATCTGGCAAGATATAAAACCTAGCAAAGTTCTGAAAAAATTGGTGAACATACTGGCTTGGAAATTCTTCAGCGCACCACTGAAAGAACTTCACTACGAGTCGGGGAAACAAGCCTGCAGGAACCCGACCAGAATCAAATCTCAGGAAAAGAGAGGGAAGCTGAGCAGAGGCAACCAACTTGATAATACCTTTGGGAGGGAGTGACATCAACATGGATGGCACCAGATACTGCCTACTGCATGGTGCATTTAATGACGGCAAAGGACAAAGCAAGCTGAACTTTTCCATGATTGCAATAAGACTCTCAGAAGTTTCTTTGTGATCAAACAAAGGGCCCCAAACATGTTTTAAAAGTTCTTCCTCCAGAATGCCTGTTGTCTCGAGTTTACGCCATAGCTCTTTAAATTTTCTTTCCTTGTAATCATAAGGCTTAACAGTAATCACCTTTTTAAACACATCAATCAACCACTGAGGGTCCAAGACCACCAAGTTGTTCAGCTCTGGACTATCGTCAAAATGAATCAATATTCTCTGGTCATGTAACAAATTCAGCAATGTCAAAATCTCTTCATCTTCACTAATTGTGCATACTTCTGATGCAATTTGTTTAGCTCTTTCAAGAGAAATGTGTTTGTAGCCATCTTCCTTCATGACTCGCAGTGCCTTCTCGTATTTCAGCCACTTGATTGGAATAGCTTCTTTCATCTGTGGTAGCTCCTTAGCTACATCAAGGACTTCTTTTCGCAGATTCACAACATCTGGACATTCAGATAAACTGCCCGACTTTGTGTTATCCACAACAAAGACACGTTCGACCAACTGGGAACTGTATGGCTTGCTCTGAAGCCAATCAAAAATTTCATGAGCGAGTTCACGAGGATTACCACCACCATTAGGTGTATCAGCATGAGTGCAAACCAAGAACACAGGAGGAAGTTTATCTGGTAACAAAGATTCATAATCTGAATGTTTTTTACTGACTTCATCATGACTAATTAGGGAAGCAACATGGGTCATCCAAAAATCTAGATAATCCAAATTGGTTTTCAGGCAAAAGTTGTCTTCAACTTTCTTGAACATTCCTCGCTTCACAGGAGGGTTGGCTCTGTCGTGTGGGTTCTGGCTAAGATCATAAATCAGGAGATAAATTCCTCTTGCTGTAAGAAACAGTGGATGGGTGACATAGTAGACAAACTGCCCACCAAAATCCCACACAGTTGAATAGATATCCTCATCGTCTACTTCTTTGTTGACCTTTTGAAGCAACGTTTCAACCAAAGTTGCTATCTCTTCAGGCACCTCATTTGTAATGAAAGAAGTGTCTTCTTGATTACCGTTACTCGGTTCAAATGCTTCATATCCTCCTTCCTCTGGCTGCCCTGAGACTTCAGAAGGAAATGCATGACTTCTGGGAAGGGAAGTGCTTCCAGACTGGACAGGCTCTGGCAAAGATCTTTCCTTTGGCTTCTGCCTTTTCTCTTTCAAACTACCCACAATCAGCTGTGCTGCATGATGCTCATAGGAAATTCCATCAAAAGAATTTGATTCTTGATCCTTCTCCCCTAACTTCCAAACATCTGTTGACACTTTGAAATGTGCAGGATCAACATCTATGCCTACAGTGCTGTCTTCATCTGGGTTGAAAACCAGTCCCTTTAGTGACTTCTTTACACTAGTCTTTCCTGATCGGTCCTGGCCAATCAACATGACAGGCACTCTCTTGACACTGGTTTTTCCCTCACTAAGGGCTTTATTATAAGCTAGCAAAGCCGAGGCTCCTCTGGCAAGAATCTCTGGAGGAACTATAAACAACAAACATGACGTCTGGTAAGATAATCATTTCTCTCTCGTTGTTGCCTACAATGCTCTTAATTCAACATACAACAGCTAAGTGTTAGAAAATCCCAGTTATACCTTGGCGTGAATGTCACACCTGAATAGCTAAGCGTATGACACAGTAAACTTGTATTGTTTTGTATTGTAACGTAGGCTTAAGTACATAATGAAGTCACAAAACCAAGTTGCATGCATATTATTCTATCCAAATGCCAAACAGCTCAGAAGCAGGAAAATATTGCCGAGGTACTTTTCACATGCTTCCTCTAGTAACTTTTGCTGTTGTTTAGGACCCTATTTAAGAAGCTAGGATGGGTAGTGTGCCTACAGCATCAGAGACAATGACACACTATCAGTGGGCAACATTGACCACCTGATCTGTTCTCCCTCCAAGAGGGCCGCCCTGCTAGCCCTAATTCCCTTGTCTTGATTCTGTGCAGACATACATATATATGGTGGGGGGGAGG